CCCCAAAACCCCAAAACCCCCTTATGTAAATATTCAGATTAAAGATTGAAAAGTAAATTAATAAATTATAATTTTATAAATATTTGGCCAACTAATTTATTGCCGCAATAATATGTCAAATTATAAGCAAGCAATTTTGAACCCAGAGATGGATTAGCTAAATTAAAGAAAACAAAGATTGATGATTGATAAGATAACTCTGGAAAATTTCAAATCTTATTATGGAAAATTAGAGATCGGACCACTGCATAAATGCTTTACTGCTGTTGTTGGTCCTAATGGATCAGGAAAGTCAAATTTAATTGAATCCCTCCTTTTTGTTTTTGGGAAAAAAGCTAAACAAATGAGACTTGAGAGATTACAATAACTTATTCACAACAGTGGTAAGCACTAGAACTTAGCTAGCGCTTCAGTAAAAATAAGATTTCATGATATCTAGGATGATTTTACTTAGAAAAATTCTTACAAAGTTGTACCTGGATCAAATTTTGAAGTATCTCGGACAGTCTACAAGAATGGTAGTTCTAAATATTTCATCAACGGAAATGATTGCGGATACGAATAGATGACAGAGCTCCTTAAATCAAAAGGAATAGATCTCAATCATAATAGGTTCCTAATCTTGCAAGGAGAAGTTGAATAGATATCACTGATGCCTCCAAAAGCTTAAAAACAAGATGAGGTTGGCTTGCTTGAATACTTAGAAGATATAATAGGGACTATAAAGTACAACCAAGATATTACTGACTTAGAGAAATTACAAGAGGATGGATAAGAAAGAAAGCAAAGCAAAATGCTAGATTTATACAGTACTAATGATGCTCTTGGGAAGCTAGAAAAAGAAAAAGATGCTGCTATCAATTTACTAAACAAGGAAAGGGTGTTGTATTTGCTTAAAAATATCAATATACAGCTATAGATTAGAGAGACATCTAAAGAAATGCAAAAATCTGGAGACCAAATAGAGAAACTTAAGATTAAAGATCAGTAAATGAATGAGGAATTAAAATGATTAAAATAAAATAAGCAAGATGCTGTGAGATAAATTTAAGCACTCAATGAAGAGGAAGAGAAAAGGAGATCAAGGGATAATGATTTAAAAAGGTAATTTAGATAACTTACCGAATATGATGAAAGAATAAGATTTGAAATGAGATAAATTGCTTAAAAAATGAAAAGATAGAAGCTATAATTCCAAAATAAAAGTTAGAAAGAGAAAGTTTAATAGCAATAAGAGAAACAATGGAAGTTGAAATTGATATCCTTGAGGTATAACTAAATGAATAAACCTTAAGACTTAGGAGGGAAAAAGAAGATATACTTTAAACTCTAAGGCCTTTATAAAAATAGAGACAAGAGAAGTAAACTATCCTCAGAGATAAACAGGCTGATATATAAATTATTCAGAATAGTCATTAAAATCTCGAATCTGAATATTAAAGGTAAAAATTTCCATATAAAAGTTTCATAATAGTCTATCCCAAGCGAAGGAGAGAGACATTTATAACATTGATATATATACTAAGTAGCTAGGTGATTCTTAAAATAACTATAATACTTTTCATCAGTAATTATAAATTCTAGAACATCAGCTAAAGTTACCTTAATTTGACTTCAATAACCTTGAGAGACAATTAAAGTAGAAATAAGAAGAGCTAGATATGATTAGATAACGTATCAATAATTTAAAGACAAAAAATAAAGTTCTATTTGAGCTGTTTGAAGCTTAAAACAGAGGCTAACTCAGAGGAATCTTGGGAAGACTAGGGGACTTAGGATCAATAGATCAGATGTATGATATTGCAATTACTACGTCATGTGGTTTTTATTTGGATCATATTGTGGTTTAAACTTTAGTAATAGCTGAGTAATGTATAGAATATCTCAGGTAAAACAAAATTGGTCGAGCATATTTTATGGTTTTAGACAAGATATATGATAAAACAGGACACATTGATGTTATCAATTTTAAATGTCCTCCAAAATCTAAGAGATTATATGATCTAGTCTAAGTCTAAAACTAAGATCTTAGAAAAGCATTTTACCTAGCATTGGGAAATTGCTTAGTTGCATAAAACTTGGAAGATGCTATAGAAGTTGGATATTATTAAAAGGAAAGACATTAAGTAGTAACACTAAAAGGAGCTCTAATTTAAACATCAGGTACTATGAGTGGTGGAGGTAAACCAAAATAAGGCGGAATGTCCTCAGATGGTTCTTAAAGATGTCAATATACTGAAGAAAATTCAATTTAACTATAGAATGAAATTGAATAACTTGTGAGTTAAATTAGAGAGGCAAAGGAATTAAAACCTCAACTTTAAAGACAGTTTAGCAGCATTTAAAGAGAAAAATAGTAATCTGAGCTTCAAATTCAATCAAACAGGATAAACTTGGAATAATTAAACTAGCATTTGTATGATTAGGAAAGAAGACTTTAGCAAATTACTAGTTAAAGTGAAGCAGTTTTGGAAGATTTCCTGAAAATCTAGGAAATCTAGAATTAAATTCAAAATATTAATGATGAGTTAGATCAAAGAGAGCCCTAGATAGAATAATTCCAAACAAAGATAAATCTGATTGATGAAAAGATACATGATTTAATGTCTCCTTAACACAATAAAGTAAGAAATGAGATTATTCAGATTGAATCCTAAATTGAGTAAATAGAAAAAGAAATTTAGAGCAACAAGAATAAGATTGAAAGTTAAGATCAAATTTTGAACAAAATAGACAAGAGTAAATCAGATGAAGTTACAGTCTTGAAAGATCTAGAATAAAAAATGCAAGAAATAAGGGGGTAGTTAGATTAGTTGACATCTGAAAATGAAAGGATTCTTTTATAGCAATAAGAAATAAATGAAAATAGAGAAAAAGATAGTAAAATAATCAAAAATGCTAAGGATTTATATCTAAAGATTAAGCCATAATTAGATGAGACCATCCAAAAATATAATGATGTGAAGTAACTAATTCATGAAGAAAGCTAAAAAGCATTAACATTAAGAGTCAATAATGATTAATAAAATTAAAAGCTCATCCAAATTAGAGAGAAGTGCTAAAAATTTATTTAGCAATTTTAGGAAGTTTTTAGAGAACTTGACTAAGTTAAGCATTCAAGGAATAGCAAAAAGTGTGAATCTATTAATAATAATTAAAGTTAACCAAATGAAAATGATATCAGTTCTTTGATAAATGATGATGAAATCTATTAATTTAACTAGAAAAGAAGGTAGATTGACTTGATTTCAATGACGAAGGAGTAAAGATTGGGGTTTTTAACAGATAATTATGATATAGTTTACTAATTTAGCTCTGAAATTCTAGAAATTCTATCTGGGGACTTTGATTTTTTAAAGTAAGCTATAACTAAATTAGCTAACTAAATCTAACGAGTAAATATG